GGTCTTGATTAAAATCTTGTCTTGATAAAAACCAAGACACCATGGAAGACCATTAAAACAAGTTTGGGCTCATCTATACCAGGGGTCTTTGGGATTACACAGGTCATAGGTACATGAAGCCAGTCAGACAAAAAAAAATTTTTTTTGGGTATATGTATATGGTGTGTTGTGTTTGTTTTGTGTATATGTGATGTATGTACTTGCTAGTGTAGGTGTGTGCAAGTATGTATGGGGATGCCCCCCCCCGTGTGTGTGTGTGTGTGTGTGTGTGTGTGAGTGTGTGTGAGAGACAGATGTAGACACCCTGGGTGTTGCTCTTAACCTTTGTATTTTAGACAGGGTCTCTCACTGAACCTGAAGTTCATTGATTCCCAAGTTCTAGGGTTACAGTTATGAGCCACATTGCCCAGTTTTTAATATGGGTTCTAGGCATTGAACTCAGGCCCTGGCAAGTGCTTTACCAACTGTGCCATCTCCCCAGCCCACAAAATAGTCTTATTTAGAGGTTCCAGAGCAGGACAGCCTGGTATACTCTGGGGAGTGGGATGGGCTTGGGGATGACTTTTGAATGTAACTTCTCTTCTTCTGAGTTCTCTGTATGAAAACCTAGTCTTTCTAGCAACATCCCGGTATATCTGTGGTGAAAACAGCAGGGGTGGTAATTGATACTAAAGTCCAATCAAGATAATGTCCAGCCAAGAGACTACTTAGAACAGTAATTCACAAAGGCTACTGAAGCACTACTCTTTGACAAAGTCTTCATCACTTTTATGAGAATCAATATAAATACAGATACAGATGCAGCACTGAAGTTGTTTTAGAGCATGACTGCTTTAGCCTGTAAAACCAAGATTTATCCAATAGGATAGCCACCCTTTTAAGTTTCATATAATTTTGGCATTAAAAATTCTCTCTGATATGAAGAGATACTAGCAATTGACAATAATTGTTTCTGAATTATCATCACAAGTTAAATAAAAACATTGGTAAAATCCAAGGTATGATTTCCAATATTTTGGGTGAATTTGTTCTGAAATAGGAGTTAGGAATCACGGGCCCAGAAGGTAAACAGCAGAGTAATGTGGCAGGAGGAGGCCTGGGCTGGGCGGTATCTCTTCATCTCACAACAGCTGCTCCATAGATGTTAAGATGAGCCTGTCATACAATGTACTATGGTATGTCGATGTGGTTGGGATATCAACAAGAGAGTTCTATCTTAAGGGCCATTGGCTTTGTCATGTCATGTCTGCCAAAAGGCAGTGAACATCTGCTTATTTAAAGAAATTCCATTCCAACTCTTTATATTTTGTCCTTTAAGAAATTCCTTGGGATACATTTTGCTTAGTCTTTCTGATGTGGCTGTGCTGGCCATCAATCCTGGGTCCTCATGCATATTAGACAGGTATGCTCAGTCTGTTAAGCACACATTATCACTTTGAAAAGGAAGCCTTGAAATTACTTCCTTAATGTATTAAAAACGAGTGATCTGCCAGTTTAGCAAAGAGTGTGAGTCCTTGCTGTGCACATGATAGACAGGAAGTATCTGGCAGCTAAATTCTAATAAAAATGCAGTTATTCTGGGATTTCATTCCATTATAAACGTATCTAGTAACTGTTGTCTTTTAGGAAAAAACCCCCAAATATGCCAGGGGTCTCTTGGTATAACTACTGTACAGGCTGCTGTGTGCTTCCAGAATTGTCAAAACAAACTTAACCACTCTCAGGGAGTCTGATCCAGTATTCCCCTGGACATGTTCTACAACGATTCCGCCAAATGTTTGTGGAACAGCTGTGCTACTTGTCTGCCTGACTCATTTTCCTTCTTTCCTTTTGGCCCAATCCTGTGATTCATCATTCTGTTTTTAGAATATTTGCCTATTTTTAAAACCAGTCAAAGAAGGCAGCCACTACTTAAAAGTAAACACTCCCTGCACCAACTTGGGGCGGCTCTGTATGCAGCTTCACAAGCCCTGAAGTTTCTGGCAGTCAAGGGTGCCAGGTAGAGCACCGGGCGGAAGATGCTGGGTTGGCTTTTGGAGCTGGTAGGCTCCTCGCGTCTGTCTCTGCTTTTCCGCTGCCATTTCCTGCTTGACTTAATCCAGCTTGATCCATTCCGAGACAAAAGTCTCACTTTCTGCTTGTCTGTAAAACACTCATTATGTGCTTATTTTCCTATCAGTTCATCATACTTGTATTTTGGTTCAAGAAATCTGATCTTAAACTTTCATTTATCTGCAAATTATCTGTGTGGTCACATATGTGTATCAGCGTGGTGTGGCTGTACAGAAAGACCTACATTTCGACTTTGAGCTTTGGTCATTCTGGCTCGTACCAAGTATTTGTTGTTTACATCATTACAACAAAGCAAACAGATAACTCCTCTTTTCTTTTTTTGAATAATCAGATGAAGGAGTGTGACTTTGCAGAGGACAGGGTAGATTAAGTCTCAGGAAGCACTGAGTTTCCTTCCCAACTATCTTCTAGAATTCTAGCATGCCCTGTCTATGCTTGTACTTTACGGAAGTGGTTTCTTCTTCCAAGTGCGTACTCATCTGTGGTTATTAGGTTGGGATGCTAAAGCATAATATGTTCCCATTTACAGTGCCAAATTGTTCTGGCCTTGGACCCAATGAGCTAAAGTAATCATGATGTCTAGGCTTTTGAAATTGTACTGATAAAAATTAAATGCACCGAAGGCCAAAATTCAGTCATAAATTGTATAAGAGGGTGTTTGTATCTGTATACTGTACCAGGTAGTAACAGTTTCATCCAGTTTCTTTGCAAATGTTGGAGTGGATTTAAAAACCACTGGCTAGAATTTGCTATTCTTAGTCTGAGTAGGAATAGGGTACTCAAAGGCATGGCATTGAACCATCTATGAAGTTCATATTAAGCATTATCAGTGAAATGTGGGCATCCATTAACCAGCACAGCTGCAGTTACAAAATGGATTTGATTTTGGTGGCGTATTGTTTTTATTTTAGGTCACTTTTAAGTGAGAATATTGTTATAGTACTCTTCACTAAAATATACCAGATGCCTTTAAGTGACAAGATCTTCAAGTTTTCTGGTAGAGGTTAATACCATCCTTGTTTAAATGATCTCTCTGGTGACTATCTTCTGTGCCTTCAAAGAGATGTAATCCTTCAGAAGCCATGAATGCCCTTGTGTATTTACTGAATTTTATTTTGGATCATGCTCTCAGTGAGCCAGGAGAGGACAGAGTTGGCCCTGTGTATTTGTGAGTTCTATATCTGGACTGAACCAAGGGTTGAAAATATTTTAAAAGATGTGTGTACTGAGCTCATACAGACTTTTTCTTGTTATTCCCTAAGTGGCACAGGACAACAATTTCCATAGTAATCACACTGTGTTAGATGTTAGAAATCATCTAGAGATCTGGGACTAGAGAGATGGTTCAGTAGTTAAGAGCACTGACTGCTTTCCTAGAGGACACAGATTCAGTTCCCAGCACCTACATGGAGTTAACAAGTATCCTTAACTCCAGTTCCAAGGGAATCCAAGCCCTCTTCTGACCTCATTGGGTACTGCGTGTGTGTGGGGCACTTACATATATGCAAGTAAGACACTCAAACACATAAAAATAAATAAATAAATAAATAGTTATAAATGAAGTCATTTAGAGAGTACTAAAAGTATACGGGAGGATGCACTTAAGTTATATATAAATACTTCATTTCATGTAAAGGATTTGAGTATCCTCAGATTTTGGTATCCATGAAGGATCATGGAAATAAATTCCCATGGATACTGAGGATGACTCTACTTGCTTCTTTGTTCTATGACCTGTATCAGAGAATCACTTTCTATAGTTAAAAAAGCATTAGTAGTTTTTATCAGATTAAAAAATGTCTTATTTTTATCATGACTTGAAATGGCTTTGGTTTTAAAATGTGTGTGTGTGTGTGTGTGTGTGTGTGTGTGTGTGTGTGTGTGTTTCTGTTCTTGGGCATTTACTGAGGGAGAGGTTTGGAAATGAATGGCCACAGTCCCTGTGGAGGCTCTGGAGAGATAGGCACCAAAGATGGGTCATCAGCCTTCTTGAAGAGATTTGGGGTGTTTTGGTTATCTGAGGCAGCATTTCTCCTGCGTTTCCTCACAGGCTTCTAGGAATGTATCTTTGTATCTTTTGGTGAGGCAAGAGCAGTCTATGGCCAGTCAAGCTGCTCACATGTCTGCTGAGGGGGATGCTTAGGCCACTGAGGACAGAGTTGCCACAGCAACTGGGCTCAGGCTCATCTGGAAACAGAGCAGTGCATCATGCCTTGGCTTGGGAGTGCTGCCTGATGCTCTGGGAAGAGATGTCCTGTTTGGCCTGCTGCCTGCTACCCACTGAAACCTGGAGCGAGTTCTGGGAATCATCTTGTGAATGGTGGTTTGTGGTAAGATCAGAGGTCAAAACTATCAAAGCTAGTGACATTTACAGTCAGAGTGCAGCTGAAACGGTTATTTTTCACATATGTCCTTCTACCCCAACGAAACTGTTCTGGCCATCCCATTAGAAACTTACTAAAGCATTTTTCATTTGGGCTGATGTAGCAGGATTAAGTAGCCCTTTTTAATTAGATAGCTACCAGAGTAGATGTTGAGGACACATACACACACACACACACACACACACACACACACACACACACTCACATTCACACCCTTTCCAAAATTTGGTCAGGCTAACTAAGGTGTCTGTGCCTCTATGTACACAGAAATGAGTACCTTCATGAGTTGCCTTCATTCTGTTTCTTCCCAACTGAAATAATGAATATAAGGGAGGGAATATACTGATAGTTTAGCTTGTGGGTACACAGCAGTCTCTGCTGGGTGGGGAATATACTGATGGTTTAGCTTGTGGGTACACAGCAGTCTGCTGGGTGGGGAATATACTGATGGTTTAGCTTGTGGGTACACAGCAGTCTCTGCTGGGTGATACTCATGAGACAAAGGGCTGTGTGGTGAAGAATCATTTTATTTTCATGTTTTAGATGATACACCATCCGAAGATGCCATTCCTTTGGTCTTTCCAGAGTTAGATCAGCAGCTACAGGTAAGGATCCTACTAACCTCTTCCTTTTCCCTCTGTAGTATCACAAATATAGTAAGCTAGGAAGTGGGTAAGTATGATAGACTGACTTAGGCACAGGGTAAAGGGCTTCTGAGTCACAAATATTTGCATTTCTAGAGCCCCAAAGTCTGATGCAAGCAGCTGCAAAGTGCCCTGTTATCCAGCTAGAGCAGAAAGTGCCTGGTCCTGCTTTCCTTTGCCAGGGTGGCTCTGGGTCATTGAATTTTGTCCCCATTTTGGGTTAATGATTTAGTATTAGACTTTTCAGGGAAAACTTGTCATGTTGCTAAGGTTTTGAAGTAGTCTTCATTTTCTTTTTCTACCACCTGTCTGTTTCCCAGTTCTCTGACAACTTTTAGTGAAACAAGGCTTGTGTGAGTTAAGACTTTCAGAAAATTGTTGGTTCAGTCTATGAGGAAAATATTTGGTGCACAAAGTTTCTGGATGATCTATGAAAAGATATCCCATTAGAACACATCTGAGTTTTTTGCTTTAAAAAAAAAGTTTACTATGTAGACCAGGCTGGCCTTAATCTCCCAGAATCAGCCTGCCTTTGCCTCCAGAGTGTGAAATTAAAGGTGTATGTCACCACGCCTGGCTCATTAAACATTGATTTTTGAAAGCCTTTAGGAGTCTTCAGTCTCCAGTTCCCAGCATGCCTTGGCATTCAATATTATAGCTCAAGGATCCTTTATTTGAAATGCGTGGAGCTTAAAGTATTTTACATTTTTGGATAAAATTTGCTTAAGATATCTTAGATAATGGGACCCATTTCTAAATACAAGCTTCATTTATGTTTCATAGACACCTTGTATACATAGCCTGAGAGAATTCTATACAATATTGTTAGCATACTTGTGTTTGACTAAGACTCATTGCAGAAAGTGGGTATGGAATTTTCACGTGTAGCTTCATGTCAGCTCTAAGAAAGTAGTAGATTTGGAGGTACTTATTTTTATAGGGAATACAGGGCTCTGTATTCCAGTTTAGCCTTGAACTTGCAGCAATCCCTCTGTTTAGCCTCCTCAGTGCTTGGATGATAGGTGTGCACAACCATGTCTAGCTGGTTTTGAGGCACTTTGGATTTTGATGTTAGTGATGCCTATCCTTTATCTTATGCCTTATAGCTTTCAACCCATTTTTTTCCTGTTCTTGGGCTAGCAATGATCTTCCTTAGCTCATGGGTGGTTCTGTGGAGGATTCATAGCACCTCTGGTGATTATTCACATCATTTTTCTTTTAAAGCATCACTGAATCCATTAGAATTTTACAGCTTTAATTCTATTTGACATATGTTAGAAATTAAATCTGTTTAATTATTTTATCCCAGTGAGACACTTCCTCTTCATTGATCTTTAATGAGGTAGGCATGTGAGTGCATGGTTTCCAGATCATGGGTTATGATCCCCCCACTTCCAATATTAGGTATAACTTCACCTCTTCCTGAACATCACAGGGACTTTACAGAACACAAAGTATTTGTCTACTGGGTGAGGAATGAGATTGAGTTTGTCATTAACATTTACCAGTGTTCAAGACATTTGGTTAGGATACCTTCTGTCTAGAGCAGTTGCCTGCAGCCTTCATTCTATTCTCCAGTGTTGTGACTTAAAACAGTGAGAACTGAGAAGGAAGAGCAGAGTCTAGTTTCCATGCTTAGCTTAATCATACACATTCATGCAACTCTACAGCAGAGTCTCACATTAAAAGCAACGAAATCCCTTTATGCACAAAGGGAACACTCTATTACATAGACAGGCCTTTTTAATAGTTAGACTTGAGTTCTTCTTTCATGCAGCCACAGCTCTTGTGAAGTTGTCTTGACTATAATATACTATATGTAAAATATACTATTATACATAGTACATATAATATACTATGAGGAAATAAAGGTCAATTACAAAGAAGTGACTTGTGGTTGTCACTATTTGTTTGGAGATGAACAGACTCTTGACTACCTACATGAGAGCCTTAAAAAATTCATTGGCTGAAAAATAAATGATGCCAATTTTCTCTCCAAAGCCTTGGACCGAAGTCCTTCTTACCACAGCATACTGAGTACCTAGCAGGCAAGGTTTGCTTCCCTCCATATGATCTCATTTGACCCTTGCAGTAATTATAGAAGTTAACTGTTTTATCTCCACTTTGTAGATGAGAAACTTGAGGCCGAACTTTGGCTGGAATCAATTTGCTGGCCTCCTCTTTCTGTTAGTTCTTTTTGGGGAATACATGGGCTGTTTAAATTGCTTTGATAAGTTAAGATTTGTTTTGTTTCTGGTTGTCAAGGTTACCATGGTGTAGTTCTAGCACAGCCTCGTAAAACTTGTTGGGACTTTCTGATAGCCTTTGCACATTCTTTGGTAATTTATAAAGCATAGCTATAAAATATCTATTTGTTAGATACTCTATCACCAATTTGACCCCCAAGATTTTTCTGTTGCATTGCCAAGAATGTGGACAAGTTTGAACATGTAATTTGTGGTCCTTCTATTTTCACAGAAGCCAAATAAAGCCTTGGGCAAGAATAGCAGTGACAAACATTTCTCTTGATGTCTCTATTAATTTGAAATGTTGAGTAAGAGACTTCCGGGTAAAGTAGTATTAAAACGAACATCTCTTTATAATGTTCACTTGTAGGCCTTGGCCCTCTACCTAATGACAGGTTCATTCTACATTCCTTCCTGGGACTAGATTTCTAAATCCCCTGTGGGCATTGGGGGCAGTATTTGAGTAGAGCTGGTTTAGATTATATAAGCAGAATACAAATGAATGGATGGATGAAAAATGAATACTCTTCCCTATGGAAATGCAGTTTCCTTCTGTTTGGAAAAGAGGTGTCAACTGACCTCTGCCTTTCTCTGTTCAGAAAGATGATGAAATTCTTTCATGGTCCAGCACAAGACCAATTCTATCTTACAGCTCGACCATAACTGTTATGTTTTAGGAACCATGGCTTAACTAAAAGCTTACTTACTCTCTCTAAACCCCATTCTTCTCTTGTAAAATGGATTTGACAGTAGCTACCTCACATCGCTATAGAATTAAGTAGATCTAACATAGTACTTAGAAAAATAATTGCTCAGCCAATGCAAATTGTCTTCCTTGGTGAAATTCTTGATTGAACAAAATATTTAAGAACAAATATTTTATTTTTCTATATGTAAAGTGAAACCAAAGGTGCATTCCTTCATCCCTTTCAATTTCTGAGTTAGGGACGGTCTGATGCCCTCTTCCTCAGGCCAAGGTACTTGGAAAACAGTATGATCTTTCTTATTTTAACACAATTGAGCAACAACTTTAACTCTTCTAAAGTTCCCTCGTCTGATGGGAGATGACAGTGACAGGTGTCTCTGTAGTACACACTGAACTTGCCTTTTCTCAGACATAGTCTGATAAGTCCAGAATCTGATGTCACGTCCACAAATAGACAATTTCATAGCTTTGCTTGAGTACCATAATATCTTGTTATCCGGGCAGCCTTTCCAGAAACTCCTTTTAGACTTTGCATCAATATGTCATATGATATCTGGGGAAGGAAAATGGTGAAGATGAAGAGGTCCCGGCATCCCAGGATTCTGCTCCCATGTCTTTAAAACCTGTCTGGGAACACCCAGAAAAGGCCGAGGAAGCCGGAAATTACCGTCGTTTTTTTCTCTTGTGCACATGTTGAAAAAAGTGTCTTAGAGTTAGCCGTTAGCTTTTGTGGCCATTCAGAAAACACATATAGATATTGTGGAACTTTACAAAAGTACTTTAATTAAAGTCATCAGTATATTTCTTTAAGAGTTCAAGGGTTTACTCTTCCCAGACACTAGGCTTAAGTCTATATAAAAAGTTAACTAGACAATTATTTCTCATTGGTGACTTTGTTCCTAACCAGAAAGTGCTGCTCAGATGTAAGACTTCAAATCTTGGTCTCCAATACTGTAGTGCCCACCTGTACCTAAGGGAGACAACCAGCCATTGTTCTAAAATGATGGATAAATTTGTTTTCTCCCACTATCTAGAAGCCTGTGAGAGGGAACTGACACTGATTCTAACCACTCCAACAGCTATCAAAATACCTGAAAACAAATCTTGAATCCATCACTCTAGAGTTCAGCCTTGGAAGACAAAAGACAAATGAGGAAGAACCCAATAGAGGGATGCCTTTGGAAGCCCTTGTCAAGAAATTCCAATGGACTCTCATGAACATTTGAAAATTGCCCTGTTCTGACTTTTTCCTAGTTCCCTGTCTAGAACTCATAATGCTAATTACTCTTGTCTTTACTTCTCCTTCACATCTTCTATTCACTAGTCAAGGACTTTCTTTTCCCCCTAGAGATAGGAGTAATGCAATCTGGGAGTCTTTTAGATAGACCCACTGAAGGGGTATTCCAAATGCCTCACCCTGTGTCCCTGTTCAGCATGGAAGAGGCCAGAGCAGCCTGCAACTGATTCCCTATTGGCAATTTGGGTAACCCCTTCAGAGGATGGCATGATAAGAATAGGAGGTAGGAATTGGCTAGGCAGTTAGGGTAAAAAGACCCCAAAGAAATGTAGCCAGTTTCTTGGCTATTTTATGGTTACTTCTTTAGAGTTGGGAATGTTAGAGTAGCCAAAAGGCCTATAAACAAATCAATCAATCAATCAATCAATCAAAGAAGAAGAAAGAGTACATGAAGTTATCAGAAAAAAGTGATGGGGAGATATGGGAGGAGTTGGAGGGGAGGGAGTGGGCATGGATTTAATCAAAACACCTTATATGCATGTATGAAATTCTCAATAAATTATTTAAATTAAAAAAAAACAACAGTACCTTAATATTTTTAGAAGCCCAGGCAGTGGTCATTAGGGTATAACTTGTGGGAAAATTTCAAGGCATTCTTGAATTACCTTGCCCTTTTAGAGTGCATGATTAGCAGAAAGTACTAAAATATGCTTTACTCCAGAGCCTATAATGTATAAGTTACACAGTACAAATTGTAGGGCCTACTAGGTGT